TCTCAGAACTTGAGAGAGAATATGATGCAAAAGAAAATTGTAAATTATTTACTTTTTCTTTATATACCCAAGGTATTATATAATCTGTGAATTTTGTTTCAATAATCAATATATGCATGCATAAATATTAAGCTGAAGGTGATGCAGAATGTCCAATTGTCTTATACACAGAAGCATAGAGTAGCACTTGTTTAAGAAAATAGGTCTGGTTGTGGACACTCCACCAAAAAAAAAAAAATTATCTTTAAAGCCATGAGAATAGAGAAGTACACTGAAATAGATTAGGGAGAGAAGAATAGAAGTCTAAGGATTACCTTGAAAATCCCATTGGTGGGGCTGGAGTTGTGGCTCAGGGATAGCAAGCGCAAGGCACTGGGTTTGATTCTCAGCACCACATACAAACAAATAAAGATCCATCAACAACTAAAAAATATATTTAAAAAAGAAAAGAAAACCCCATTGGTTAGAAAATGTCCATCAGTTGGGATGCTTAGGGTGGCAAGTGGAAGAAAAACAACCAAAAGTGAGTTAAATAGTATCATGAAAGAGAAAAGTGCCAATTCAGTGCTGTCCTCAGGTACCACAGCAATCATTAGGTTTCCTCCTTCCACATTACCCAGCTTCAGCTTTGAGCTCCAATTATTGGTACCATCTAGTACCTCCAGTATCGTTGATTAAGAAGCAAGAAAGGTCATTTTCCCCAAAGTAGCAGTATACCTCATTGTAAGATTTCATGCTTATCTCTGAACCAAACCAAACTCCAGTGAATATCAAACATGAAATTCTATAAAATGTGACAAGTTCCCAGTCTGGAACATAACAATAGCTGGGTCAATGCCTGACACAATACACAATTACAAGGTCCCTATCTCAGGCATACTGTGCATCCTCCTGCTCTTCTCAGGACTCAGATGAGTCTGGCTCACTTTCTTGTTGTTTCAGACTTCCAAAGTGTTGACCAACCATTGGCTTCCTAATTCTGTCACATTTTCCTGAGATTTCAGTTTCTACTTGCATAGTTCGAACATTAAGTGCCCCCCAAAGGTCCATGTGTTAAAGACTTGCTCCCCAGCCTGGCACTGTTGGGGGGTGCTGTGAATCTTTAGGAGTCGGGGCCTTATCGGAGGTCATTGGGGGCATGTCCTCAGAGGAAATTTTGAAACTCAAGTCTCTTGCTTTTTCTCTTTGCTTCTTGATCATGAGGTGTTCCCACAATGATGTGTCACCTCACCATCTGCCCGAAACAATGGGGCTAATCAGTCATGGACTGGAACCTCCAAAACTGTGATCCAAAATAATCTTTTTCTCTTTATAAGTTACTTATCTCAGATATTTCATCATAGGAATATGAAGCTAACATGCTACCTTTATGTTTTCCCTCCTGATAATTTCAGCCATCCCATTCTCTCTGCCCAAAGTAAATAAAAATAGGATTCATATAAGGACAGGGAAATGTTCATGGGTTTAGCAGGTCACACAGTGACACAAAAACTTTCACCATTTCGTATTTGTTTTTGTAATAATTCAAGTCTGAAGATTTTTTTCATTCTTGCCTTAATGTCATCAGTAAATACTTATATTTGCATAATTTGAGGGAGTTAAGAAGAGCTCCTTTCATCAACCCTACTTAAGTTCCTTTTTGAGAAAAGATACATAACTTTCAGAGTGTATAAAAGACATGATGACACAAATTTTATCATTCTAGTACTAGAGTTCTCTAGACAAAACCTAAGAAACTGGATATACAATATCAGTATTTTGAAGTAGTCTCCACACAGTAGAAATGTAGTAAGATATAGTGTGTATTATGTTTGTCTGCATAGGTAAGATTTTTTTTCATATGCTTACAAATATTCTTGTATAAATGAAAGCTGCTGTAGAGCGAGATAAGATAATCTCACTCACCTGTGTGCATCAGAAAAAAATGTTGTTGAGCTCACTCTTAAAGAAACTTCCAGAGATAAATATCAGCTCTTTCTGTTAATTGTCTTTTCTTTGATAGATAATTACTATTCCATAAACTTGCCCTTCATTACTGGGGATTGAGCCCAGGGCTTCATGCATATCAAGTAAGCACTCTACCACTGAGCTGCATCCCCATCCCTTTTAAAAAAAATTTTATGGGTACATTACAATTATATATAATAATGAGATTTATTATGCCATATTTGTGTATGTATGCACATAATTTTTTTAGAGAGAGAGAGAGAGAGAATTTTTTAAATGTTTTCAGAGGACACAACATCTTTATTTTATGTGGTGCTGAGGATTGAACCCAGCGCCCCGCGCATGCCAGGCAAGCGCGTTACCACTTGAGCCACATCCCCAGCCCATATGCACATAATTTGATGAATTTCATTCCCCACTCCCTTTTTTTCCCTCACCTCCCCCAATCCACTTGCTCTAGTCTGCTGATATACCTCCTACTACTATATATTTTTTCAATTAGTACATTATATATATATATACACACACACACACACACACACATATATATCTACAGGATAAAAATTGTGGTATATTCATATATCACATAGCATAATTTGGTATATTTCATTTCCCTGTGCCTTCCTCTCCTCCCTCCCTCTCAGTCCCCTTCCTCTATTCTGTTGGTGTCCCTTCTATTTTTGTGAGATCACCTTTTGTTTAAAATTTCTTCTCACTGTTGCTCTCGCTTTCTTGCTCTTTATCTCGCTCTCTTGCTTGCTCTTTCTCACTTTCACATACAAGAGAAAACATTTGGCCCTTGACCTTCTGAGATAGCCTGATTTAACTTAGCATCATGTTCTCTAGTTTCATCTATTTTTCTGAAAATGGCATAATTTCATCTTCTTCAGGGCTGAGTAAAACTTTATTGTGTATTTTCTTTATCCATTCATGTGTTGTCCAGCACCTGGGCTAGTTCCTTAACTTGGCTATTATGAATTGTGCTTCTGTGAACATTGGTATGCATGTATTGCTGTAGTATGCTGATTTTAGTTCTTTCTAACAAATAAATACCAAGAGCAAGATAGCTGGGTCATATAGTGGCTCCATTCCTGGTCAAAATTTTGAGGGTTCTCCATACTGCTTTCCAAAGTGATTATACTAATTTGCAGTCCCAACAACAATATATGAGGTACCTTTTCCCCCACATTCTTGCCAGCTTTTATTGTTATTTGTATTCCTGATGACTGCCATTCTAACTGGAATGAGATGAAATCTGAGTGTAGTTTTTATTTGCATTTTCCTGATTGCTAAGGATGTGGAACACTTTTTTACATGTTTTTTGGCCGTTTATATTCTTTTGAGAAATATTTGTTTAGTTCATGCCCATTTTGATTTATTTTTTTTTCAGTGTTAACTTTTTTGAGTTCTTTATATATTCTAGATATTAATCTTCTGTCAGAAGAGTAAGCTTATACTTCCCTGGACCCCATGATACTGTTAATTGCCAGTGAATCCAAGGCCTCAAGCATGCTAGGTATACATTTCCACTAAACTATAACATCAGCCCTTTTTATTTTATTTTTGAGACAGGGCCTCCCAAAGTTACTCAGGCTGACCTTTAATTCACAGTCCTCCTGCCTCAACCTTTTGAGTAGCTGGGATTACTGACTGGTGTGAAGCACCATGCTTAAGTCTGTTTTTATAATCCTGTTACAACAATTTCTGGATGATGAATTAATGTGTTTCATTTAGCAGATATTTACTGTTGAGAAGTCAGGAAATGTAATGCAGTTTTCAGGAAGTTATGACTTAAGTTATGAACCCTATCGATAAAGATGGTTTTGATTCTTGAGTATTTTTTAACCTATTTCTATTTCTCTTATTTTCTGATTTTTTCCTTTAGTCTAAGTGAAATGTAACTTTGAATAAAGATAATTGGGTGAAGAAATGAAAGTGTCAGTAGCACAGTAGATTTGTTTAAAAATTTAAGAGATTGATTTCCACAGTAGTTTTTAAACAGAAGTCTTCAAGCTGACACTTTTTTGGGTATGATGCCTTCTGTGCAGAATTAAAAGTTGTGTATCTCATTTCTACAGTAGGAACATACAACACTCATGAAGTTTTCAAATGTCCATGGAATTGAAAAGTCAGTGTGAATACTATGAACTGTGTATGTTGTGGGCATAAGGTGTTTTTTTAATCTTTCATCTTTTTTTAAGGATCAAATAGCATTAGAAAAATAAGCCCTGTGCATTACACACTTGGTCTGGTGAAATTCAATATTCACAATGACAATTTAGAATATAAGCTCCTTGGAAGGAAAGTGAACTCACCACTCTAAGTTTGCATCTAAATATCTTAAAAGTGTACTCTTAGTTTTATGAAAAGGTTTTGATCCGTACTCCTACTTTAAGTTCAAAAGAAAACCTACATTTTGAAGTGTATTCCTTTTCTGGGTGTATTTACTTTGAACTACAGCATTTAGTTTTTCTCATAAATCTAACCTGCCACTATCTGTTTTTAAGACTTTGTAAACTTCAAGTGGTTATGATGTGTGAAGTTTGGGTTAAACTAAATTTTTTAGAAAACACATGTTATATATTTTGATTGTTTTGAATTTTAGCATAGGACAGTCAAAAACTTTGAGTGCCTAGCAAAATAATATATTGTACTCTGGTGCTGTAAGAAATCACAGAAAATTGCCCTTTCCCATCATTTTAATGATAGACAAATGAAGCAGCTGTTCTTATTCTTAGCATAGCTGTTTGAAAAACTTACACAGTTTAATGAAAATGTCTCTACTCATAAAACTTAAAATACTCACTTGTGGAAAAAATCATAATGTTTTGGCAAATATTGCTTTGTTAAGAATGTGAATGAGGTATACCTGCTTCATAACTAGAATTCTATTTAAATGGCATGAAACTGTGGTTGGAAAGCCAACTGAAAAAGAAGATTCTGACAGTGGGTGAATTAACACTCTTTAAAAATATGCAGTCTTTTCCCGAACTCTTGTTGAGGGTTCGAGGAAGAATGATGTACCTCTTTCCATTTTCTTTTTTCTTTTTTAGGCATAATTCTTGGATCGTCATTTCTACTCAGCATAAATGATTTTCTCCTTAAAACAAGTCTCAGAGAAAGAAGTCGGATTCTCACAGGACCATTTTGTGCTACCACTAATCTAGAAGCTAAGTGGTGTAAACACAGTGGCAATCTAGGGCCAGAACAGTCCATACCAAAAATATCCATCGATTTAAGAGGTGGTCTGCTACAGGTCAGTAGGAATTGACCCTTTTTTTCCCCATAAATTTTTAGATGCCTTTGTTTTTTTTAACTATTTCACTAAATTTTAAGCCTTTGTGGGTGAGAAAAGGGTATTATCAGATTGCTATCTTATAAAATTTTTGGCAGTTTTATTGAGGTATAACCACATGCCATATAATTTACCTATTTAAGGAGTGCAATTCAATGGTTTCTTAGTATCATCTCAGAGTTGTGTGATCATTACCATGGCCAATTGTAGAACTTCTTTTTTTTTTTACCACTTATTCTTCAGTTGAGAGGGACATTTGGGATCTTTCTACTTGGGGCTGTTAAAAATAATGCTGATATTACATTTGCATTTAACATTTTGTGTAGACTTGTGTTTTCATTTATCTTGGGTATATAATTAGGAGTAGAATTTTGGGGTGAAACTTTTTAAAATATAAATACTTTTATAACTACAAAGTAGTTGAACCATTCCTGGTGACAGATTTCTTATATATTATGATTGCTGATTACTAACACTTGCTATAAGTCACATTGCAACTTCTTATGCATTTGCCTTATATACCACAATGTATGGGTACCCATCTTATTTCTTGGTAATATTTGAATAGATGTTAATCTGATCTTTATGTGATTCGATGCCCTCTAAAATTGCCTGAATCCAAAAAGCTTACAAAATTCAAATACTAGAAGGTTGAAATGGCTGATTTGTCAGTAATGGAGGCATATTAAACATAAATTTCTTGATTTCATCTGAAAATTGTATTGCTTCAAGTTTCACCAGTTTTACTGACTCAGAGTAAGATTTGGGAGACCCCAGTAGCTTATTGCTTTATGTTACTTTGGAGATTTTCAGTGTCTATTGTAAATCTTCAGGTATTTAGCGAGAAGTATACAGTTTTGTAGTGCTTTCTAGAGAATAATAACATTACTAACTTTTTTCCAAGGCAGCAAAATAACTACACATTAAAAACAGAAATAAGAGCAAAATCAAGGTATATCATGACTACATTCTAGTCAGTGCCTGTTTTTAACAGCATAAATCCAGGACATGGTGTTCTCTTCTCCACCTTGACTTTTCACTCATCTCTATTTCTTTTTGATGAGAACTAAAGTAAACAGTGTTGTATCTCTTACTTCCATTTCAGAGATGCCTCAATTCCAAAGAACAGAACCTAAGTGTAGTATTTAAAACTTACCCACAAGGTATAAGGCTATTATTTTCTTTTTTTTTTTTAATTTTTTATTGTTGGCTGTTCAAAACATTACATAGTTCTTGATATATTGTATTTCACACTTTGATTCAAGTGGGTTGTGAGCTCCCATTTTTACCCCATATACAGATTGCCGAATCACATCAGTTACACATCCATTGATTTACATATTGCCATACTCGTGTCTGTTGTGTTCTGCTGCCTTTCCTATCCTCTAAGGCTATTATTTTCTATTTTGTATGTTCTTTTGTCTTTTCTGTGTTGACCAGGGGTCTCTTAGAATTAATAGTTATATTGATTTTACCCAGTATATTCAGAGAAATTTTAACATTAAGGAAATTTTAAATTCTCTGATGTAATCACTATGACTAGTATTCTGTCACAGAATATTATTATTCAAAAGCAGAAAAAGAAAATTTCATCTTCTCCATTACATGGAAACTCTCTCTCTTTGTCCCCTTGTTCTGAAACTCTTCTGTAGCTCCTGGCATATAGTCTCAGGAAGGAGCTGTGGAATCCCATATATTAGCATATTGTTACTACATACCGAAGTTGGATAGCCTTCCAAGTTCAAGACCACTAAGCAGGTTCCTTCTCTCTTTTTTCTCTGAAGTATAAAAGAGCAAAGAAATGAGCCCCATAATCAGAATTGTTTATTTAATCTCATGACAAAATCCAGGAAGCTATTCCACAAGGTTATTATTACTATTTTATTAGCACTTTGGCCTAGAGGATCTTCATTACCTTCTCTTGTACTATAATAAGTTTTCTTTGCCCTCATGGCTAAATGAGTTTATAAACATTACTTCACATTAATGTAATTTCATCATTGATCTAACATTTAAGATGTGTTACTCACACAATAGATGATATAATTGATTTTGTTGTTATATTTACTTAATAGAATCTCATTCTATAAGTTAACTATTTCTTAGAAATTAGTTTATTGTTAATAACTATAAAATGAAAATAATTACTGTCTTGCATTAGTTTAAATATGATTGTACCTAATTGCCCTTAAGAACTCTTTGTATTTAAAGTCAGCACAATTTTTCATGTCACTTTAAAGGTCTTCTGGGGTCAAGAACATTTGAATTGTTTAGTCCTCCTTCATGAATTACTCAATGGATATCTTAAAGAGGAGAGAAATGTTGAAGTGCTAGTTTCTGAACCAGTACCTCAGATGCCATCTCCTGTGGAAAAAACTCAGGCCTTTAAAAGTGAACACAGTTCAGATGACCTGCGGACGGGTCACTTTCAGTACATTCAAGATGCTGGTAAGTAGGTATGAGAGTATGTGTGCATGTGTGGGTGTTTAAATGCATACTTACTAAATTACAACACATAAATCACTTGTACAGGACATTCATACATACAGTACAATAATAATGCATTCTCATTCAGTCTTTCAAGGGAAGTCTTGATTTCTTTCTATCTCAAACCATATAAAAATGATCAGATGGTTTCTTTTTATTCTTTTCTCTTGATCTTAAAACCTTCTTCTCATTCTAAGAAACCATCATGTCCCTTTTAAAAGCATACAGTGTATTATATTTTCATTTGACAGAACCTTTGAAACTCCCTGGTGTCTATGAAGTCTTGTTTTATAATGAAACAGAAGATAGCCCAGGAATGATGTTGTGGAGGTATCCAGAACCCAGAGTACTCACCCTTGTACGAATAACTCCTGTACCTTTCAACACCACAGAGGATCCAGATATTAGCACAGCAGACCTGGGTGATGTGCTACAGGTAATGTAGAAACTATTCATTTTAAAATAAAGTGTAGGAAAGTGTTGATCATTCATTAAGAATGATTTGCAGCATACTTATTCCTTATGTTCAGTAATATTATAGAGAAATACACATGCTTATACTGTGTACATACACCTAATGTACAATAGAAATTTTAAATTAAGGGAATGATGTAATTCAGATTCAAAATACTTGAGAATTTCAAGAGTTCCTAATCCTTCTCTTCATTCTGATGTGTGTAAGATTACAGGGTCTTACTGTAAGGGGACAAGCAGGTGTCATTAATTCATCACACATTTAATAGCTGCTGTGTTTAGATTCCTTAGAGTTTCTAGAACTTCTCCCTGGAATAAAATATGCCCACATATGGCCAAAATTCAATAACTTTAATTTTCATTTCCAGAGCTGAAAATGGTCTTGGGACTTGAGTTAGGCTGATTGTTCCTAATAAGAAAAATTATCTAAACAGTGATCATATTCCCTATGGTTTTGAAATGCTTATTGCTTGTTAGTTCTCTGAGTTTAATGTGAATGTCAGTGTGGATATATTATATTATTATTCTGCTTGCTAATATTCTACTGATCTGAATTTCTCTAAAATATGTTTCACCCTTAGTCTTCCATCTTTTACTGGATCTCAAATCCATCCATTCAAACTCTGGGAGTAATTTTTGATTTCTCTCTTTCCATAACTCTGCACATCCAACCATCAACAAGTCGTATCAGTTCTACCTCCAAGACCTTTCCTTATTCCACCTAATTACTTCCTGGTTAGTCTGTGTGCACTTCCATTCTTGACTATTTGTAGTGCATTTCCAAATATCAGCTTGAGTGATGTTTTTAAATGTAGGTCATGATGGGAGGGGAGGGGAAGGGAAGAAAGGAAGGGCAGCAGAATAAAATAGACATTATTATTGCTGTATGTATATAGGTGACTGTATGACCAATGTGATTCTACAACCTGTACAATCAGAAAAATGAGAACTTATACTCCATTTGATTCAAATGTATGAATTGTCAAGACCATTGTATTGTCATGTGTAACTAATAATAAATAAATAAATGTAGGTCATATCACGTCACAATTTAAGACCTTCTGGAAGCTTCCTCTAATAATTTGAATAGAATTGTAGTCTTACTCTCTGAGTGGAAGTCAGGTCAGTCTCCTCTTTCTCACTGTGCACCAGCCATCCTGGTCTTCTTTTTCTCCTTGAGCATATAATCTTAGTCCTTTCTCTTGCCATTGCCTCACCTTTGAATATAACCACTCTCAACCTTTGTTAATCAGATACTAGCTCAAATGTCATATCTTGGTTAGCCCACCTGCTCTACTTAATTCTGTATCTTATTACCTTGCTTTACTTTCTTCATGGCTTTTGGAGCTGTTCAAAATTATCTTATGCAGCCAGGCATGGTGGCACATTTCTGTAATCCCAGTAGCTCAGGAGACTGAAGCAGGAGGATCACAAGTTCAAAGCCAGCCTCAGCAACAGCAAGGTGCTCAGTGAGACCCTGTCTCACAATTAAAATACAAAATAAGACTGGGGACGTGGCTCAGTGGTTGAGTGCCCCTGAGTTCAATTCCTGGTACCCCCTCCAAAAAAATTATCTTATGCATTTATTTGTTTATTTGCTTATATATTCATCTTTTTTCTATCATTACAGAATAAGCCACTTATGTTTCTTAATCACATACCTCTAATACTTAAAAGTTCTCACCAATATTTTTTTTTAAAATGACTGCTCTGTACTTAACAAATTAGAGTAATGATACAAATCAGAAAAATCCAAAATACAAATTAATATAGGTATTCTTGCATTCTTAATTAATCTTATTTAAATTCTTAATTATAATGTTTAGTCAGATCAGATGTTCATCTTTTTAATCGATAACAATGAAGCATGCCCTCATATTGTCAAGTGAACTCAAATATGCAAAACAATCCAGACTAAGATGACAACAGTCTCCTCTCTGATTCTTAATTTATCAAATTTGTTGTTTTCCTATCAATATCATATGTTCATGGTTATATTTGCCAAATGAAATAGCAGTATCTGTGAGTTTTCCTCTCTTACTAGATTTTTTAAACACAGAATACCTATAGATTTTCAATCAAGATGAAAATATTGATATATAAAAGTTTCAGCAGCATGTAAAAGCTTCTTTTCAGCTGACTTTTAGGTTCAGATTTATGGCTAAATATTAATGCATTTATTAGTAAAAGTTAATAACTAATTATTAACAGTATTATGATGTCAGTTCTATTAAATTGGCTATCTAAAGTATATAAGTATATCTGTGGACCAACTAGAATAGTCCAGACCTGGGGTAGTCCAAGGGCCCAGGTAGCAAACTTGGCATATAAGAAAAGAAAGCACTACATGAAAGAAACCTGGAAGGTCTCAACAGATTGCCATGTTTCATAGTTTGTTGAAGAAATCAGGAACCAAGATGGGACAGATTTCAAAGACAAGAATACTAGGCAAGGAAGGGAGCAAGACAGGGTTATAGCTTCTAAAAATTGAAAGAGCCTGATCCAGAATCAACAACTTGGATGAAGCAATACAGTAGAACAGGCAAGGTTGACCTGACACCTTGCTGATGAGCTCCTTGTACAGTCCCCATATTCTCCTGACTAGGAGCAGAGTTTGTCCCGGGACTTAGAATGAGTCTCATCAATGGAAACAACCATGAGGTGCAATTTTAGAATCATGCAAACTATTTTATTTTGTTGGTGCTTCTGTTGAGAACAGAATATATAGCATAAATCACAGGTTTGATTCAATTCAACAACTTTTTTTCTTAGGCACATACAGTACCATACCCTGGAATTACTCTTGGGAATCAAGAGACAGATGAACTATTATTGTTCATGTAAAAGCTCAGTCTAGCAGGAAAGTCGCTGTAGTTGTTTGGTATAGAAGAGTCTCCTTATTGCAGCTTTCAAGGTGGATCTGTCTATTGTTGGAATCATTTTCCTACTACATGTGATTATTGAAGTCTAAACAGGAGGCACAGCTATAATATCTGAAATTACAGTGAGCTCATGAAAGGAATGCCCTTTGTCAATGGGGTGTAGTGCAAATAATGTGAAGTTTCATCTCCTAGCTTTTTTTTTTTTTTTTTTTTTTTTACTGATTCAGTAACTTAAGGCAAACTCTATTAGAGCTCCATTTCCTCGACTGAACACTAGTGTTAATGTTATCTACCTTTCACAATTATTCGAGGAGATAATATCAAATGGAATATTATAACTAATGTTCTTAACTAAATGCCTTAGCTTTAATAAATGGTGAGCTTTAATAAATGTTTATTTTCTTCTCTCTGCTCCTTTTTTTATACACAAATGCCTGTACCACTAAAAGAGATTCCTAACTGGAATTCCAACCTTCAATCGCTCTTCCTTCTAATCTATCCTGCTGAGGTCTTATAGGAACAGATGGATTTTATAATTCCCTGAAGAATTATCAGTGTATCCCCCTGCTACACTGCTCTTGACAGCCCTCCATAGCCACTGCCTCCATTACCACTCCACTAGCTTTGCTTTGCAGCCTCTTAGATGTGATCTCTGCTCAAATTCAGCTGGCCCATTTGGCATTCCCCAAACCAACCTGTAACATCTCACTTCCTCTTCCTTTGAATCCCTTCTTTCTCTGCCAATTGAAATCCTGTCTGCACTTTAAGAATGACTAACAAGTTGTCTGTTTCATGAACACCTTCCTAGACAACGCCTAAACCTGATGCCCTTAAATCTGAAACCTTAGAGCACTTAATGTCATGATTTTTATGCTATTTATCACTCTATTCCTTGCTCTTTTTTTTTTTCTTTTGGTACTGGGGATTGAAGCCAGGGACACTCTACCACTGTACTACATATCCAACTCTTGTTACTTTTTATTTTGAGAAAAGGTCTTATTACATTGCCCAGGCTGGCCTTAAACTTACAATTCTCCTACCTCAGCCTATCAAGTAGACGTGCACCACTGTGCCTCGTTTATTCCTCAGTTTTTCTTTTATTTGCCTATATCTTGTATCCCTCCTAGAGTTAATGTCTCTAAAGGAAGGGATCATATCTGATTTGTTATTATTTTCCTTAGGGTATCTTGTATAGTTACGCTCAATAAAATATATTGAATAGAAAAATGAATACATGAATTCTGTGTTCCTATTTCATATTATTTAAAAGTATTATTTATCACTATTTTATGGGACTAATGAATGCATTTTGATTTTCCAAACTGAACTATGTCAGGATGCAGTGTGCTTGCTATTCATCAGTGGTATCATCTGCCATAAACATGCAGCCTAATGTTATTATGCTACCCAGGCTGTTGGTGAGATCATTGAATATTCTGCCAAGTCTACTTGTTCCCTAAACAGAGGCTAGTTCTTATATATGAAGATAAATTAATCTCCTTGGCCTCAGTCCTAAAAGCAGAATTGAGTTTGGATGACTTTTTCCTTCAGGACCATTAGTTCATTTAAAAATGGACCTTAAAGAGTTCAGTTATACTACAGAAGTCTCAGATTTGTCTATTTATATTCTATCATTCATGATTGTCGGTTGTATTTATAAACAACCCCCCATATTATGGAATTTATTTGGTAATTATAATGAAAAATATGGGAAACATGTTCCAAATAAAAACCCTGAAATTAATGTTCATGGAAAACAAAAGGAGCTTATTTTGTGGTAAATTTATAATTTTGCCATGTAATTTTATGTTTTATCAATATGTTTAGATGTCAATAAAATTAGAATCTGTAAGGTAAAATAAAAGTATAAAGTGATGCCACTACCTAAAAAGGAGGATTGCGTGGTTTAAATGAACCTAAGTGTAAGAAGTTTCTGGCACTATGTCTGGCACATACTAGGTTTTTTTCTTTCTCCATCCTGCCGTGTATTCTGTTTGTTGAGTATTCCATTTGGAAGTATCCATGTTGCAATTATAAATTTTAATCCATCCTTTGTAGGAAAATTGACAGTGGATATTTT